TAGGGTTTGGTTTAGGATTTAGAGTTTGGTTAAGGTTTTATTTAGGATTTGGTTTAGGATTTGGTTGGGATTTGATTTAGGATTTAGGGTTTGGTTTAGGATTTGTTTAGGATTTGGTTTAGGATTTAGGGTTTGGTTAGGGTTTGGTTTAGGATTTAGAATTTGGTCAGGATTTTATTTAGGGTTTAGGGTTTGGTTAAGGTTTGGTTTAGGATTTGGATAGAATTTGGTTTAGGATTTGATTAGGATTTGGTTTAGGATTTAGGATTTGATTTAGGATTTAAGATTTTATTAAGGTTTGTTTAGGGTTTATGATTTGATTAATTTTGGTCTAAAGTTTGAATGAAGTCCAATAAGATTTTAACTAGAATTAAATTAAGATTGAATTGAGATGTATTTGAGAGATATTTGTGATCATTCTAATATTTCTTTAAGATTTTTTATTATTTCTTTAAAATTTCTTTAAGGTTTTTTTAAATTTGATTAAAGCTTGTTTAATATTATTATGATCTAATTAGAGTTTAGTTAGTATTCTATTGTAGTTAGGATATTTTTGTTGCAATTTCCATTCTACCTTCCACAGCCAGGTGCCCAGAGCATTCTCAAGCAAGACTTCATATATTACGACAACGTGTATTTATTTTTAATTTTCAATTTTTTTGCAATAGGTGGTATATATTTTCATCAATGTTCTCCTATGTACTTAAGGTTTCTTGTAATCTCTCAATTGACCACCAATATTATAATGTACCTTATGGCATTATTGCAATTTATTTCTATAAAGAAAGCATAGTATTTTTCTTGTATGTCATATATAGTTAGTCTTTTTTTTTTTTGTTCTTGCATGGTTTTTAGAGAAAAAGAGTGTACTATATCTTGGCATTCTATTGAATGCTCAAGGTAATTCTTTTTGGTGTGTTAGTATTGTTAGCATTGCCAATGACACCTTCTTTCATATTGCAATTTGTGATGTCTCTCTTTCTTTTGTAGGTGGCAATTGTAATGAAGCTTCTAAATTTTTTTATGCAGATACGCTTCTTCTTTTTGTATATTACATGTGCAAAAATGCTCATGCTTCTTCTACTTCCTTTATCTTGAGTATATCGTTTGGTCCTACTATAAGTGTAAAAGTATCAAACTTACTTCTATTCTTTATGTTCTAACTCAACCGACTTCCCTATCTTGCTCCATTCTATTCCAAATGATGCAAAAATTAGTACAATCTATTTTATAAAAGATAAAAATTGCATTATTGGTAAATGAAACTCAATGCTATAATAAAACCATCACATAGAGATTTTTCAAAAACCTCCCTCTCTTCTTCTATATTTCAAAATCAAATCTAAGACTATCTTAGAACATAATATTGTCAATCATTAGTACCAATGTTACTAGTTTATGTTGTGTAATTTTAATTTCATATAATTCATAATAATCTAAATTTTATCTAATAAATAAGTAAAGAATTAATTTAAATTCATATTAATACTATAGATAGATAAATTTTTATATTATAATATTTAATTATTTATTTTTGGTTTTAATTTTAAAATCCATATTTTATAAATTAATATTTTAATTTATTTATTAAATAAAAATATATTAATTATGTATATGTAATTTCTATTTTATAATTATTATCATTATTATTTATAAAGAATTTAATATATTTTTTGTATAAATATTAAATTATTATTATAAGTATTATATATATATATATATATATATATATATATACATATTTGTATTGGAAATTATTAAAGCCACATCCCTCTTTCCACGTCATGATTCATTTTTGTATAAGTTCTATGTCTCTTATTCCATTCTCATCCCACATCTCCTATTTTCATACTTCAATTCTACCCTTTTGATCTTAACTTTGCCACCTCGTCCCTAGCCCCCTCCCCCCCCCCTTAATCCGAACTTCACCACCCCATCTCTACTTCGTGCCCACTCTCCTTGCTCCTTTTCCACCATCTATAGCATGTCACATTAAATGCATATATAAAAATGAAAATCTCATGCTAGTACTTTTGAGTGATTTTAAATATACATGATAACCTACTTAAATAGTATATGACTCTCAATTTTTTAGTTTTTTATTTTTTGATTAATTAAACATAATATTCTATAAAATAAATAATTTTTCATATTACTTTCATATTTTACTGAGAGGCCTTTAGATTTAAAGTGCATTCTCATTCAAATATTATACGTATTGCTATTCATGATGAACATTCATTTTAAATCTTAAGTTTTTTCAATATAATATGATACTTACTTTAAATCACTTAAATATATGAATTTCATAGATTTATTGTTATTTTTTACTCTTATATATTTCAAGAAAACAGAAAAAATTCTCATCTATTATTGTCTTGTATTATGTTGCATAATCAATTAAATTTAAGATTAATTTGCAGCAAAAATACCATGTAAATTAAATATTATTGATCAAAAATTTAATGGTAATAACTAGTTCTTTTTATAATTACTTTATGAAAGATTTCATAATGAAAATTAAGTATCAATTTCTTATATTTTTCTTATATATGAATACATGCGCTTAATTAAACATAGTAGTTACTATAGCATGGTAACTTTTTAACACCTAGCATTGTTACAAAATTTTTAAAATCTTATAAAAGTATTTGAGTAAATCTTGTAAAAACATGTTGAAACTTCTTTTAAAAGTTTAAATTAAAAAAATCGTGGTCTTACTAATAAATTGTTCAAAAATAAAATCAAATCAAACATGTTTTTTGGAATTTATGGTTTTTTTAAAAGTAATTTTTATGTTATGTGCATATTCAATCTTCCTATTTTTTAATTGAATCTGGTGCATTCAATTTTTATATTTGTAAATTAGCTTTAATAGCATGATATGAATATTTTTTTTCAAAATTGTATGTTGTATTTTTTTTGTAGATTGATAATACATATTAGGATCTTATAAACTTTACCTTCTATTTAGTTTTGTTTTGCTTTTCTAATTTTTAAGATATATACATTATCTAGGACCTATTAACTCATTCATAATTCAATATTTTATTGTGTGAATTTTTATGCTTACAAAGGAAATTTATTATTATCAAGATAACAAAAATAACGTATGTTATAGTTTAGATGTAAAAAATAGAGACTAAGATCAAAGTTGCTATGCCTATGTTTACATCTATAATGCATTTCATGATAAAATTTTGTTATTTTTGGTGACAAGGGTGGGATAAGGTTGGAAAGAGTGGAGATGGAGTGGCGGGGTTAGGACTAGAGAAGATGTGGATGAAGTGGTAGGATTATGGTATAAGAACAGAAAACAAGAAATAAGGAATAGAAATGAGGTAGGAAACATGGAACTTGTACAAAAATGAATCATGAGGTGAAAAGGGGGATGTGGCTTTAACAAGTCCTTATATATATATATATATATATATATTTCTTGGACTTAACTTGAAAGTATAATTATTCCTAATATTTATTTTTTAATCTATATTTAATCTTTATTAATAGTTATGGTTGTTTTTTATTTTTTATTTTTTTCAAATCTTTTTTTTCCCACAAACTAATGCAATGAGTTGTTCTTTTATGGCTATATATTGGCTTGCACAAATTATTATTAGAATCATTTTTCTTGTTTCAATTGAAATGACTTTTTATGTTTTAATAATCATTATTCTTTTTTGTAGTTACAACCCTTGCTTTATTTATTAATTTTGTTGCTTCGTTAGTAAGTATAGATTGTTGAAGGACAATAACCACTAATTATCCAAATTTATAGATTGCTTTAGATGATATTCTTTTGATTGCTTATTTTAGATTTAATTTTTTTAAAGATTTTGAATCATAGATATTTTTAGAATATTAATCTTGTTTAATTGTTGCTCTACAAATTTTAACAGGGATATTAGACTTTAGTACCCAAGTTCAACAGTTTTTAAAACTTTCCTATTAACTTCAGCTTTTAGATTTTTTAGACATCAAGAGACCATTATAGTAAGTTACCATTTTAGTTTTATATTAATTAAATGCAATGCTAGATTCAACTTCATTATTATTTATAGAATTAATTATTTTTCCTAATCTTAAATAATTTATCATATTTTTTTTGTTTTGTAATACATCATTACTAGAAATGGTGTTGTCATTGCCACTTCTAATAGATACTTATATTTAGCAACCTCATATCTTCTATATTTTTGTTGCAACCACCTAATTGTTCTTGACATATTGGTCTTTAACTTCCTTTGTTTGTTTTGGTTAATTTGTTTATTTTTTCTTAGATTTCAACTAATTATCTTTTTTTTATTGCTTAACCAAACTTTTAGTTGAGTTAGTAGGAATAATAGTTTGAAGTTGGGTAGAATTATAAAACTAAGAATGTTTAAATTTTATGTTTATTCTAATAAGTTGAGATTTCTATTAATATTTTTTACAAAAACACAATATTATTTGCATGAAGGCATTGGATTCTTTAAGGTCCATACCAATAAGTTTTTAACTTATTTAGAAGCTACTTGTGGCCTTTATAAAACTACAAAATATGATCACCAATTATAATTTTTTTTAGTAGATAATAGTGTTTTTGGCTCTAAATAATACATATCCATTACTCTTAATTCATTATTATTTATCATGTTTCTTTTTTGATATCTTAGGTTTCGATATTTGCTAATTAAGTTGTTAACATCCATTCAAGGGTGCAATATAATTACCAAGTAGTACCTCAAGATAATAATACATTCCTAGTTAGAATCAATGAATATCTACTTATATTTTAATACCAGCCAATAAATGATATTTAATACCCCAATTTTCTACTATGCCACAGATATTTTTCATTGTTTTACTAATATCATCTAATTCAATAATTTCTATATACACCGTTCTGAAAAAGAAAAAGGAAAACATTATTTAAAAAATAATAATAATAACAAATAACATCGATCATAAATGATTTTTTGATGTAATTTGGTTTATCACCAACCAAAACAATCTTCAACTTTCTATATAACATTTTCTCACGTGACCTCAAAATATATACAAGATTTTCAACAGTTATTGGCATGCAGGGCTTACCACCAGGGAATGGTCATACTTACATATATTCTTCCTCTCCAACCTAATTCCGTTTGATTCTAAAGCCCTGACCCTAAAATACGACGACTAAACCCGAATTTGGCATGTTTTCGGACGATGAGCGACGAGGGAGTGAAGACATGGGAGAGAGTTGCATGGCGATGCTGCGCCGTTCGCTGCGTCGCTTCGTGCGCATCCTGCAGACCCTTGTGCGGGAGTGGATGGAGCCATGCCTCGCACTGCACTCGCAGCTCTTCGAAGCGTTTGTTGTCGAAGTTCTGCTTCTGGAACAGGTTCCGTTGCCGACATTGGAAGATCCTCTGCATGAGGTCTTGGTAGCTCGGATTGCTCGACGTGACCATGAAGTAGGTGTAGCCGCAGACCAAGCCACTAGCGGTGGTGAAGAAGGCGATGGGCTCCATGACGTTCCACGAGAACTCCCAGAACGTGAGCCGGAAGAAGAGCAGCAGTTTTATTACGATCCCGCAAAGGACTGTCCATAGCACCAATCGCATCTGCTTGTGAGCCTTCCTGTCGATTTCCTCCTTCTCCTTCAACAACGCCAACAGTTCCTTGCTTCGTGGGTTGTCCTCACCGATGAGAGACAGTGGCAGGACGCTCGCCACAAGCTCCGTAATCTGTCAATTCAATTCTCTCCGTTACTAATGTCACTCTGTTTACCCATCCCTCACACACCTCTCCCGAGTGCGCGAAGCTTGATTTTTTTATGTGAAGACTGATTTGCACGATAAAGCATGTAAGAACAGAATAGACGTGGACGAGAAGAGGCAATGATTCAATTCCGATCACCCGTGCGGTCGTTGAATTCATGGTTGCATGTCAAATTTCACTTTGAAGATGACCAATGTGGGCTTGTTCTTCCTGTCATTGCAACAACCAAAATGGCGAGTATGTGTGTGAAAACTCACCTTCTCAGGATGCAAGTGGACCTTGTCCCGGAACATTAGCATGACGCCGGCTTGGTTGAACACCTGCGCCATGCGCATGGCCTCCTCGTTGTTGGAGACCATCCTCGTTGTCTGGATAACGTGAAGAAGCTCCTCATAGCTGATACTGTCGCGCGAATCGTTTCACAGTTTCTTCCGAATAGATGACAGGTGCACTTGCTGTACAAGGTTCCTTGCTTCTGTGGTGGCGATTCTGGTCGACGCTTCCTCCACCTTCCTACCACAAACGCATATCGCTCCCCCTCTTTTAAAGTTTTCATCCTTTTCATCCCGTTCAAGATCGTCTTTATACGCCGCCGCATGCACAGACCTCAACGTCACACACCTCCACAACGACCACCTCAAGTCCCTTGAAGGACTCCACATCTGCACTTGCAAAAATGATATCGACTGTGGACACGGGGACGATGCTACCGCTGCATTCGAAACCGAACAAGAATTTCCAAATTCACTTGGTCTTCGCATCAAGTTTGTTGCGACGAAATTGCTGCTTGTAAACACCAACTTCGCATGACATAATCTACGCAATACTCCGCGGCAAGCAGCCATGACTCCGGCCCGCTGCCCCAAGCTGGTAGTACGAACGTTTCCCTTTCCCTGCAAATCTCGATTTGACTCATGCACCGAAAATCCTGACAAGGGGCTGGGCATGTGCAACTTTCACAAATCCATCCAAATCCATCAATTCTAGCACTTTAGGCCCTCATATTGTGTGAATTTCCTCATGCTTATCAGGTCTGAAGCTACAGAATCTGCGCATTTCGGCGGCGCAGGTAGTTGTTGGACATCAACTCCGTGGACCTCATGGGGGAAGGCTTCACATGGACGCGTGGGATAAGGATATTTGAGCTCTGGACTCTGCGGATGGAAGCTAAGTTCGCCGATTGATTGAATGCTTCGGACGCATGAGTCAGAGCCAACCCACAACTTGCGCAATCATCAACCGGAGATCTAAACCACAGTTGGAGTTCTCGTTAGAATAGATTTCATGTGTTTTGTGTGGTGTCTAGCAAGCCAACTTTGAAATTAATGACGTGAATCAGAGAACAGAGGGGGCATATTACGTCAACGAATTTTGCTGAAGATCCTTAGTGGCAATTTCATTTGATAATTTCAAGAAATTGTTACGGGTTTCTGAACATCAAAGTTTGCAAAATGTGAGTGTCTTTGCTTCGACTTCGAGATTTGGGTATTGAAGGCTACGGATTAGCAGAAATTGTACTCTGTCTGGTAGCAGCGTCTTGAACCCTGTTTTCAAGCTCCTAGCTACTGATCTCATCTTCATCATTACTTACGATTAAAATGAACTTCTGAAGCTTTTGAAAAATTAAGGAAGAGCAGCAACGCAATGTTCAATTGAGTTATCAGATTCCATTTCTCCTGAGTTGAGAATCGCGGGCTGTGCTTTGTGTGATGCTAATTCAGACATTCATGCGCGAATTTTTGAAACGTTCCATTACGAGTTGTCTGATCCCCAGTTTGAATTCATGGAACCACACCAGCCTTCACTTGGGTGGTGATGGCTTCTTTTTGCACAGCCGATGTGCAAGACCTTACACAATCTTTGCATGCACTCAGTACATTAATAGTGAATCAAACTGCTCGATTGTCTACTTAGTTCATTGCGAAAGTTATCTACGCTAACCTAGAAATTCACCAGGTTTCAACAATATTGTTGTATATGCATTGTTTATTACGGAGATTTAAATCAGCTGTTCAATGAACATTCTTCATTGAGGGGTAAATTAGAGGTATCTTGTGAGGGATAGGGTTTCTTTAAGTCTATGAAGTAATCACAACAAAGCTCTAAAATTCCAACAATGTAGAGTGCAAATCTCTGGCCCATGTGCATTCTGCAATGCAAGAGCTCAGTTCGAGGAAAAGTGTGGGGCCCTGGATTGTGTAACGCCCTCTGCCCGAGACCTCTACATGCAAATACCGAACAAATGCGGCGGGCGTTGCACTCGGGAGAGCCTGAAGATGGACAGCATTTGGCGGCATTGAAAGCACTGGAACAAACTTCAACACCATGAACACACATCCCCTCGCGTTTATCTCAATGGAATGCGAAGACACGAAACAGAATGAGGTTGAGTGTCTCCCACGTCGCTCTCCCAGGCACGACAACAATCCATTGCCAGTCTCCCAAGACGCAAGACATTCCTGGAGTTAAATCGATGTTACAAGTACAAGACCAAAAATGCTTTTTGCTCTGGTAGAGCTTGACGTCATCCTTTGGGTTTGGCCAAATACAGTAAACTTGCAACACGGAAAAGACAAGCATGTCTGCACCGAAGCATAACTCCAGTCGGCGTGTAGGCATCGTTGACCTACCAAAGAAGACTGTGGTACTTTACGATGTTCTTGGCGCTGAAAATTTTACCTCCTCTACCAAACCCCCGCCCTTCATTCAATCAAGCCCGCCCAGACCGAGAGGAACACCGAGACCGAGCCTTAGGTTTGGGCTAGGGCTTGGGCATGAGCTCATCGTGCCGGGATTATTGAGGTGCTCAGGGGACTTTTGGGTCCTGTTTCGTGAACATCTGCACATGAATATCGAACTTGCAATTCTACGAGTGATGCGTAGTTTCAAGTCTGTTGTTGTGGGTGAAGCTGGAGTACTTGGGTATGTTTTGTTTTATCTGGGGACGCTGTAAATCGCGTATTCTTTGATCACGGGAGAGGTTACCATGGAGGGTACTCTGACTATTGCTGCGAAGACGAAGAGGGTGGATGTGGATAACCGGCTGCCGTTGAAGTATTATTACCGAACGGCGGATAATCTTTTGAAGCAGGTGTTCAAATTGGATTGCTGGCCTGGGAGGGAGTATGATCGCTTAGAGTGAAGAGTTAGAGTGAAGAGTTAGATTGAAGAGATTAGGGCATTTATATTTGTATTTGTATCTAATCGGAAGAGGGTGTGCGATATTCGATCGTAATTAGGGGTTGCATTGAGTGGTTTGCAGGCTCGTGTTTACCGGGATGAGGGTAACGTCATCGATTACTACATTTTGCTGGTTCGATTTTCCAGGTGAATTGCGTGTTTTGCAAGTTTGGCTAGTAATGGGTAATTTGGGAACTCTACGCAGAACTTTTCGTACAGAGGTTGTCCCAATTATGACGCTAATTTGTGGATCAAGCTTTGCAATTGGTATCAGAAATGATGTGCTTCAAAGGCCCTGGCACACAGCTGGGGGGCTGATGAATTTTAGTGCAGTGAATGACTTGTTGGAATACGTTACGAACAGTTGTTGAATTTTCCGTTGATGATTGCAGTTTAGTGTCTGAGACCATCCCCAAACATCGCGAATACCGGTTGTATCCAAGGGAACTTCAAGACTACATCAGAGTAAGTTCAGCAATTCATTCAGTAATTGGTTGATACTTCGGTTTTTCCAAGGAAGGTGGCATACGAACGTTTACGTTCGACATTTATAAGATTATTAAAACGAGGATGTTAACAGCCCCATGCACACATCTGGGTTTGTACGTATTTTTTCCTCAAGATGTTTTTTAGCTATTTCTCTGCGTGTTAATTTCTTGCATTGGTGACGGGAATTACAGAGATTTCGAGATGTTATCACGGAGCTCGAAAAGCTGCAGCCTGAAGTTCGGAAGCAACTTGATCTGTACAACCAGCGTTTTCTCAAGCCCACGGCGCCTTCCTCACAGAGCTTGCCGTCTTCATACAGCACTCCTTCCCCATTCAGCTCTCCATCATATGTCACTCCCTCATATAGTTGGCCTTCCTATGACAATAAAACGTTGAACACTGAGGGTTCTTATGAGAGGAGCCACTCGTTCTCAGGAGTAAATCAAGATAAGGCATGTCGAATTCATTTACGTTCTATGTTTTCTGTTTTGAACTTGACTTTTGTTTAGGTTGATATTTATTGGCCGATCTTAGGTTTTTATTTTGCGAGTTTCTTGACGTAAAAGTTGTACCTCAATTTGTAGAGCTTATTCGGAAGTGAGTCGGGTTTATGATTGATTTTTGAAATAACTAGTTGAAATTTCAATTGAAACACCCTGACCACGTCGTTGTTTTCAGTTTGGTGGCAATGGAACACGAGCCCAAGTCCCAGGTTATGCTGCTTCAGGACCTGGAGATTATGCGCTAGGTTTAACTTACAATAGTACTTCTCTGGAAACTCAACTTAAAAATTCGTGAGTAACTTCTTGTGTGTTATAGCAATGATCTGAATTTGAATGGATTTGAAATCTGCCGGTCTTGCTTCTAATCTGAAAACCGTCGTTCTCGTCGTCATTCTTCAAATCCATGTACCTGCATCAACCTTCATCAAATAACTCATGGTTTTACTACACGTGGGACATTTGTAAAACTACTTTGAAAATGAGGTGCTTTTCAGTCAAATTGCATTTTGAATGCTAATCTTATAGTTGGATGTTAATTGTGGGTTTGTTTTTAATATGTAGGTCCCTGAACATTCCAAGGCCCAAGGAGGAAACACTTTCCAGACACTCTATCCTTGGACCGAGTACGCAGCGACCACGGAGAGAGTCGGCACCTCTTAAAGTATGCAGTAATTTAGCGGACAGAAGTTCGAATGAATGAAGGATTTTTCAGTTTAACTTCATTAGATATAAATTATAATATTGGGGACTTGAGGGATTAAGTCCAGTGATGATTTCTCCTCATTTTTTACTGTGCAGGTTCAATATCCAAGCCATATTGATGCTACACCAATTGAGCTACCAAGGTTTGTCACTGACTATTCCTTTTGAATCTATTTTAAATCAGTTTCTTTGGTTGCACTTAATCTTTAATTAGTTTTCTGTAGCTGCCTTTTCTAGCATTTGTTGACCAACAAACACAATTGGTGTTTCGTATCAACGTTGAAGTACTGAAAGCTAGATTTTCTGATGGTTGCCACGATGGGCGAATGGGGTGAAGCTTTTTCCAGGACTGGAATGCTCCTGCTCAAGCTCCTACCGCGTCTACCAGTGTGTCTTCAACTGTTGCCGCTTTGGAATCTTTATCAGATCCCGCCCTTTGGTCCGGTTCTCAGTCATCCGTGACAGTAGATGTTGCCCCTCCAGTTACATTGGTCAGACAGCCTTCTCCACCTCCTATTGCTGCTCCTGTACAAACAGTGCAAGCTGTGCTTGACACACATGATCACTCCCAAAGTCAGTTGTCACCTGACCTGGTGGCTGATCCTCGTCCTGGATCACCACAACCTCTAGACGATGATTTGTCCAAAGGACCTAAGCGCTTGCACATTGTAGGCATCTGCAAACTCAATCTGCATGGTTGCTTTGATTGCTTTTGATATTTTTTCTATTTGCCTTCGGTAGGCTGGGGGTAAAATCGATGTAACTTTGGTATGATGATTTACTGTTTGCAGCTTGTGTTCGCTCTTTAGTTTGTATTTCGCTCATTTATTTATTTATTTTTTGTCACGATTTTTGCCCCAGTCCACGAAAATGTTGAACGAATTTATGCGACTGTCGAAAGCAAATACTACTCGAAATCTCGAGACATGTGGGGTTCTTGCAGGGTCCTTGGTGAGTTCAATCTGCAAACATGTTAGCCATGTAGAGCTTTTATTTTTTCATATATAATTGCTTTGCCAGACCAATTTGTGACCGTGGCGGTAATGTCATTCAGTAAAAACTGAGCATACTTGTAAATTGATAGTGCCTCCTCTTGGTTATTTTTTGCAGAAGAAGGGCGTTTTTTACGTTTGTACTTTGATCGTTCCAAAGCAGGAAGCCACATCCGACTCCGTATGGCTATTTTCTCGCACACTGTTTTTCTGATGTTCAAATTTCACAAACAATAGACTTGCAGATATAATTGACCGTATTGATCTACTTTTGTAGACGTTCGTAAAGCAGATTTATATGATCTTTGTTCATGGGATGGATGACAGTAGAGTTAAGCTTGTTTTTGTTAATTTTACTTGTAAGCATAAGAAAGATTGGGTTATCCTCTTAATTCCTGTTTGGAATGTGTTTATCACAGTGTCAAACAATTAATGAGGAGGAAATATTTGATGCACAAGACAAGCGAAGTCTTTTTCAGCTTGGTTGGATACATGTAAGAAGATTGTTAAGTCAGCATAGGTTTTTCTAATTTAGAGATATAGGTCATGAGATACCTAGCATCTTTTCGTGCTTGATACGGCTCTTGTAAACTATGGAACGATTTACATGTGGCTATGAATACGTTTCTCTGTTGATTTTGCAGACACATCCGACACAATCGTGTTTTATGTCCTCCATTGATCTCCATACTCATTACTCCTATCAGGTCAGTCAGTCCATATTCAATTTTGACCATTACAATATGATTAGTATTATGTATAATTGACTCCTATTCACAGAGTACTGTATTTGAATATTTCCTGGCTGTCTAATACTGGTGGTGATAAGCTTTTCAGATTGTGCTTTTGTGAAGTTTGGGCATTATGTCATGCATCTTTGTAGTTCTTGTGGTAATCCTTGCCAGTTTCGCAAAACTTACTAAGTCATTTTTTGTAGATAATGTTGCCAGAGGCTATTGCTATAGTGATGGCGCCAACTGACAACTCTCGGTATGTGATGACGGTCATTATTTTTTTTCGTCGCGAACATTGTAGCTTTTGCACAATTTATTCTTGTTTGATACTTATTCTTCCGAGGAAATGACGAAATTGTTATGCTACATCCTTGAAAATCTGATAAAGATGTGAGAAAGTGATGTCAGTTTTTCGTTGCGTAGTACTGTTGTCATCCTATGTTAAATCAGTAGCGTCAGTCCTTAGTTATTTTGTCGAATTTATAGATAAACATTTAGATCTATGCACACTTTTTTTTTGTTTTTGTTTTATTTTTATTTTTTCATGGAGAGGGATATTAGACAATGCTTATTGTGTCCTTGAGCCAAATGTTCTAATGGTTTCAAGTGTATTTAAAATGCAGACCTTACGGTATTTTCCGCCTATCTGATCCTGGAGGTGTAAAAGTTATTCAGCAGTGCCAAAAGCGTGGTTTTCATCCCCATGAAAATCCCCCAGGTGGAGGCCCCATCTATGAGTGGTGCAACCATGTTTATATGAACCCAAACCTACAGTTTGATGTTATGGATCTACGAGCACAATGATAGGCACACGATCCAATTTGTGCAATTATCTGCAACCGAGCCAACAATGTTGTACTCGGGCATCGTTCTGATTTTATGCTGCTGTGTTGCAGTAATTTTTTCTATCATTTAAAAAGGATGCAGAGGTTTTCCACGTCCTATAAGGATTTTTTTTTCTTTTTTTTTTTTTTTTTAATTGTTTTTCTCTTTTCTCTCCCTCTTTTGTCTTCACAAAGTGCGCCCATTCAGGAGTCTTCACAGTTCAAAAGAACATCCTTCCGAAGGGTTATGCTCAACTCATGCATTTGTTATCAGTATCTCAAATTCTTAAAGATTCAATGTAATTGAACAAGAGATGTTCCAAAACTGGGGAGAAAATATGTATGATGGCGCTATGTTACTTTTACAGTAGGTTGCAAAATGTTAAAAGCAAATTTTGTTTTGAAAAGTTAAAAATATAATGTTATTGACATGATATATTTATATTCGGAATATTTGTTGAATTAATTCGATAATAGTTGGTACGATTTGTGGCCAATCACATTTTAAAAACAAAGCAGAGTTGATCATTATCAATCTTTGTTTAAATAATTTTAGATCAACACACAAAATTCAAGCCATTTAACTTTTATGTAGTTAATTTTTATTGACCTAAAAAATATGGCAGTTATTTGCATCTCTTTTAAACATGATTGAAAAAATTAACATACAACATATTTTGATGATATTGTTTTTAAGTATTGACATATCTTGTAATGATTTTAATTTTTTGAACATCATATTTGTAACAAGACATTATTTATACAATACCTTGATTATTTTTTAAAAAAAATTAGAATAAACATTGCTTGTATCATAACACTTTTAAATTAGATAGATACAAAAACTAACATTTAAAAAAAATCTGGACTTAAATGTTGTAATTCTACTTAATTTTTTTAAAAAACCATTTATTCTATTCTTAAGATTTAACATAAATAATAAATAAAGATTGAGAAACTCTTGAATTCCATGTAATTGATATGTTAGACCTAACCTCAAAGATAATTTTTTAATTTTTAAGATCTATGCTATTTCTTGAAGAAGGTTTTACTTTTTTCAAGTTATTGTTTAATATTATGGAGGTTAATTTCCATAAGATTTATCCAAATTCAACTTAATTAGTTCATATTAAATTTTAAATGTATAGTATACTATGTAATTTTTATTGAAATAAAAATTTCTTATAATAGATTTGAATGGTTTTTACCTTCAAACCCTATAAAAAAAAAAAAGACCACATGATGCATTATCTTTTAAATTTGAGTGAATAGCACTTGCAAATATAATCTACTGTTATAATAAAAAAAATAAAAAAAATAAAAAAAAATTCTAAAGACTAAATTTCGTTTATAAGAAGCTGGTTTGTTCATGATAGATGTAACCTAATTGTAGATTCTTTATGCTTGTGTGAATATTCAAAAATTATGTAGGATGATTACTTGCATCCACGAAATGAAAAAAAAGATAATTGATATTATTATTAGAATAAAATGAATTTCTCTATTTGTTCACAACCATCATATTTTACCAAATAAGCTACAGTAGTATTCTTTTGTTTATGCTCGAAGCTTAAATTGATTATTGTGATTGAAGCAATAATAAAAACTTTATCATAACCTTCTACTATATTTTTTAAAATGTTAAAATTGATTTAATTGCAATTTTTATTAGCTTAATAATAGAACTTTATTAAAATATAATATTCTTAATGTCATACCACCTCAATACAACTTTATCTTAGTAGGCCTTTTTTAAGGACATAAATCAAGTCAAAACTTGAAAAATACAATATATTCTAATGTAAATTTTAAAAAAAATTAGACAAATGGAAAATTGGTATAAAATAATAAGAAAAAAAATAATTATTAGCAAATACAAAGAAGCTAAATAGTCATGAACTAAGACTAAAAAATAAGAAAGGTATTGACAAGGTAGTCTTGGAGATATATATAAATATATATATATATATATATATACTTGAATAACAATAATAGTAAGAATAGTATTTAAATGACAAGAATAAACCAATTCATATTTTATTATTTATCCATTTGAAATAGTAAAATAGTGTAATTTATAAGAGTTGCACAAATTTGTCTCTTCATTCTCTGTTGTCACATCTTATATTAAGTATATATGATGGGTATTTATCTTTTCTTATTTCAATTTAAGATTCTTAAATTCTATATCTTTCAATCTTTATAACCAAATTAGATGCCAGTTAGGTTTAGCATAATAACCATAATTTATATATATATATATATATATATATCTTAATATTCTATTTTATTTTGTAAAAGTGACTATATAAGAAGATCATAAAAAAATTGTAAATACATTTATTACAAAAAATCATTAGTACTTGAATGATATAATTTGCTTAAGATATTTATTAATATGATGAAAAATCCATACACTTAGCATATTATGTAATAAACTCTTACTTGTTTCTATTCAGTTGCTTAAGTCTGTAAAGGTATTTTTTAAAAGCATTCTTTCTTATCTATCATCTTAAGAATCTTTGGCCTTCTTAATATCAGCAATAATAAGCAGTACAATAAAATACCATTGACTGATTTATTTGTCGATTGTAAATTTAGAAGTTGGTCTCTATGAATTTCTACTTATTGATTCTTCTTCTAAAGCAATAGTTGTATAAATAAATAAATTAAAGTGATTAAAAAATCATAAGTTTTAATATTTCTAAAGAAAAGAAAATAAAAACTACTCAATTATGGTTTAAAGTACATTGCATGATGATTCAAAGATTTTTTTTTAATTTGATTAATGACCTTAGTTTAATTAATAAGTTCTCATATATATATATATATAATTATCTAATATATTTATAATATATATAATATAAATCTATTTAAAATAGCTATTGTTTAATTCAAGTTAATTTTTCTTATTGAAACAAATGATTATAATAACTAAAATATCATTGTATAATTTTTTTGTTATATTTGAGGCATACATTAGTTTTAATTTTAAAACATCATCTTAAAAAAATATAATAATAAATTTATAAAATACTTGGAGTTTTTAAAAAAAATTGGTCTATTTTAATACTAGTTAAAAACATATAAAAAATTTGTATCTTTCAATTACTAAAATATTTGGTAAGATTTAAATACATATAGAGCATTTTTATAAATACCTATATTACTTAAATAATTTGAATGAATTTAAAATAATATATATATATATATATATAAAGAATATTTGTAATTATTTTTAAAATTTAAGTTATATCTATAGTTATTCTTTAATATATGATATGGTCAAAGGTGTATTTTTGAAAAGTTTTTAGATCTATGAAACTACTAAAAAAACACCTAAAAACTTACATATTTATTTTGTAAGCCATGTAGCATTTAAAAACCTTTTATAAGATTTTTTTTATTACTTGAGATATAAAACAATAAATTGAATCCATATTATTGAATCTATTTGAATGTGTAAAAATAAAAAATTGCATGGATTTTGCAAGTGAATCCCCTATGTTCTACTAACATGGATCTAATGACAATTTTGTGTCATTTGCTTAGTTGTACCATAATTCAATCTTTACTATTGAGCAAATAAAGATTCTATCTATGTTCTCTCTCTCTCTCTTTTTCTCTCTCTCTCTCTCTCTCTCTCTCTCTCTCTATATATATATATATATATATATATATATACACACACATATACATATATGAAAACTCTATACTTGCTTTTTAAGCTATGTAATACATGTTTAAATGATTCATTTTAGAATTTAAGTTAAATAATGATTACATAGATTTGCAAATAGCTTTGTCCAACTAATATGCTTTTGTTTTGACTAATCAAAAATCCATGCTGTATATATGTTGGAATGATACCATATTTTTAAACTTCTAGGATTGAAATGCATAAAATAAAATTTATAAAAAACTCAACAAAAAATAAATATTATTAATAATAATAAAAAATTATTATACATAACTAGTATTATAAATAAAATTATGTATACTCATCTAGAATAAGAGATTATATACAATTTTATATATCAATGAATTTAAAAATCACTTGTAGTCTAGATTGATTCAATTGCTTTGTGTAAGTTTATATAATGGTTAGTTTTTAAGATCAATCACTCTTGGTCATTGTGCATACGACCAAACTAGTACATTTTACAAAAATCAAAATATATACTTTCAACTAAGCATTCTATTTATGTTATTTTTTAAAAAAATAATATTATTAATATAGTATTTGACAATTAGCTCGTTGGAATAAAAATATAATTTATGAAATATAAATATAAATACCAAATATATATATATATATATCTTTATATTAATTATATAGATAAATATATTAGTATAATTATTTATTAATAAAACTTTGATCTATTATTTTCTTTATTTCTTAGAAATTACAGCATCTAAATAAATTTAACAAATAAAATAATAAAATTCTCACTTTAACAGAAAAAAATGTAATATAAAGTATAAATAAAATTGTGTATATATATATATATATATATATATATGTGTGTGTGTGTGTGTATGTGTGTGTGTATGTGTACGTGTATATATAGTCAAAATATAGTCAAATATAGTTAATATTTATTAACTTTATTAAACTAACATATTATGTATCAAGTCAAATTAAAAATAAAAAATAAAAAATAATTATATTTATAAAATAGATATTATAAAAAAATAAAAAATAAAGTAAAAATAACACATGTCATATTATTATTTTTTTAAATAATAAAATTTCTTTTAAATCATTAATTTTTTGATGTAATTTCTAGTTTTTTCTTATCTATAAATATAATAATATTTTAAAACAGCTTTTATCTTTGTCAAAAAAATTAAAATAATAATTTTTTAATTTAAATTAGTATTTTTTTGTAAAATATTTACAACCTTTTGATGTAGCTTTATATAAACTCTTTCTAGTGACTTTCTTACATACATGATGATTTTTTGTTATTTGATAAAAAAAATATATTTGTCAAGTGTTATTTGATATCTTGTGCAAATAGAACTATTTAGACATAACTATTAAGAAATATTTAATCAATTGATGAGTTTAAAAATCATCATTTTTTCACATTTTTTTGATATTTTTTAAGACTTCTTAGAAAAAAAGAACT